GGGCTGGAATATCTCCCAGAGAAGGAGACTCCCCAACCCTCTGGGCAGCCTGGGCCAGGGCTCCGGCACCCTCAGAGGGAAGAAGTTCTTCCTTGGGTTCAGCTGGAGCTTCCTCTGCTCCAGTTTGTGCCCGTTGCCCCTTGTCCTGTCGCTGGGCACCACTGGAAAGAGCCTGGCCCCGTCCTCCTGACCCCCCCCTGCAGATATTGATCGGCATTTCTAAGGTCCCCTCGCAGCCTTCTCTTCTCCAGGCTGAACAAGCCCAGCTCCCTCAGCCTCTCCTTGGAGGACAGATGCACCAGTCTCCTCCTCATCCTCATAGCCCTGTGCTGGACGCTCATTTCTTACCTCAGCTCGTCTCTCTCCTCTGTGAGGTCTGAAAGCCTCTTTTATGGGAGGAATTGCCAAACTCAAAACAAGCACTTAATTTTTCTGTTTCATCTAGTGCCTACATGTTGCTTCTCAAGCATGCTAGAAAGAATATCTAGTTCTTGCATCCCATCCATGGTGTTGGGAAAAAAAAAAATAAGGCTTTATTGTGTAGAGGTGAGAAGTTAAAAGTAAGGTGACTATTTGGCAGGTGGGCCTGTTGCTAGTTGGCAACAGAGCCTGGATCCTGCTCGTTCTTGCGTGTGTGTCTGTGAGCTCTATTGGTGGGCAAACGCGTGGCTTGGTTTTTAAATACCCAGTGGCAGAAACTCATTTTTCCACAAAATCCATGCTGCTGAGGGGACGCGCTGCAGAAATCAGAACCTGGGGTCCGGTATTTACGGTTTGTGCAGCTGGAAACTCATCTGAGCCTGGAATCTGCATCGCTAATTACCCTGCCCGCCAGCTGGGGTCATTCCCGTACACGTAAAGTCGCTGCTGGAAATCCCATCAGCCCGGGAAGATCTTCACCGCTTCCATATTCTGGGCATCAGCATACGTTGTTGGAATGTTTCTTTTCCCGGTGATGCAGAGCCAGGTGGTGCTCAGCGGTGCCTGTGTGTGTTTTACAGGTGGCTCTGGAAGGCGAGGGGGAAGATTTTCTGCCCAAGGCATGGGGTAAGTTTCACTGGTACAAACCACAGCAAGAAGAAAAGCCTTTGTGCATGAGCAGTACTGTTTGTGTCGGTCATTTGTGTTCCGATTTTCTTTTTTTTGTTAATAAAGCCAGAACTGCATCCTGCTAACTTAAATTTGGAATAGCTGGTGCAGCTGAAGCATCCCTCTGCGGAGAGTGCTGTCTTCTGAGACTCTTTGAGATGTCTCATGGTCTGAATAAGATCAGTTGCTTTTAAAATGTGTAGGGAGAGGGAGCAGAACTTTCTATCCTTGTATTTCTTGCAGAACTTTCAACCCGGCTGACTATGCCGAGCCGGCCGGCACGGATGAGAACTACGGGAATAGCAACAACAACACGTGGAACAGCACTGGGAGCTTCGAGCCGGATGACGGCACAAGTAAGTGGTCTTCACACACGTTTGCTGCTTTGTCTTTAGAGGGTAAGCGGATTTTGTGTCCATCCAGTTGCACGGAGGAGGTTCTGGGTCGGTCTTTGGCTCGGGGATGGAGGAACGGGTTGTTGGTTCAGGGGTGGATTTCAGCAAGCTTGTTCCTGTGCACCCAGAGGTGCCTTTGCATCTGTTAGGGTGACCAGGTTGGAAAAGTGGAGCTGGATGGTTGTTCTGGCCTGAGCTCGTGCGTGCTGTTGCCCAACAGAGGTGCAGGAACGCTTGCCTCCATTTTGTTTTCCAGCAGAAACCATGCTGCCTCTTTGGAAAAGTCTTTTATAAACTGTAGCGTGATTACACACGTGCAATTTTTTCCGCTGTTCGGTGCATCCTCCAGAGAATATTACGCGGACCACAGATGTCTTGCACTTGATTTTGGTATGGGGAGCTTAAATTGCTGTAGGATGAGACCTTGTTGCAGAAAGCTAGCTCAAAAGAGATCTTGATCGCTTCGCTGTTTGGAGCAAACGTTTCTTCGCTGGGCCGTTTGTGAACGCCGATCTGCCCCTGCGCGTTCTCTAGCCTTGGGAGAATGGTACCTTTTTTGGTTTCAAGTGTGCACGTGATTGTAAGACGCAAGTGACCTCAGGTTTTGCCATGTGATAACTGGACAGAGTCGGAAGGGACAGTCCTTAATTGTAAGTAGTCTGTCTGTGTGGGGCTTTGAAGAGGGGGGTTTTTTTTTTTTTTTTTTTTTTTCCTAGATTCACCACTGTGAAGTCAAACTGTTTTTCCATGATTTTTAAGCATTGGAGTAAATACCACATCCTGGTGGTAAGAAGCATTCACAGCCATAGCAGTGTTGCTTTAGGCTACTTCGATATTTCTTGTATTTGCTGAAAAACTGATAGCTTTGGAAGGAGAGAAATCAAGTACTGAAAACTGTGAGACCTTTTACTACACACGGTTAGCGTAGGGATATTTTCGTGTCTTTTTGCTTTTAGAAAACAGAGCTGTTTTGAAAGGGGGGAAGAAAACACACATGGTTTTGTAAAACAGCAGCAGATTGAGGGATCGTTGTCTTGCTGACTGAGAAATGGAGTTTTAAATATCGGAGACAGCAGTGTAGGCATGTGTTAAAGGCAACGGGTACACGTGTCTGGAGGAAGAAGGGACGGGACTGGATGAGCTCGACGTGCTGGAAGTTGAACTGTCTAGTCTGAACGGGCCGTGTGGGGTTTTTCTTCTGTGTCAGTGTTTTGTGGAACAAAGCAGGTTAGAGGCATGGTTAGGGGGAATGGAAGATCTTCCTGATGGAACAACTCAAACTTGCCCTAGTGCTACAGCGCAGTTGTAAAGCTGATCGTGCAACCACACTGTTCACCCGTGTCGTGCGTGGTTGTTTTGTTTCCATTTGAGTAGCCGCAGGCGTCTCTTTACATGAACGGTATCCACAGGTACGATGTGACTGGTGTACGCGGGGGCAAGGAGACTCGCCTTCGCTTCTTGAAGTCAAAATTTCACTGGTTGTCTGTCTTTTCTTTTTTTTTTTTTGTTTCAGGACTTGATTTCATTGGGGGTGAGGGGTCAAATTATCCCCGAAAATTTGACACTGCTCCTGGTACGATACATCCAGGTGCACTAACTGCCCCGGCTACCTTTACTTCATAGCTTTTTTAAAAAAAAACACCTTGAAATATCTGTGGATGTGGCATTCTTCTCTCTCTTCATTTGTTCATTCTAATGAATATTTGATGTTTGTTCTGACTATGCTTTTACTAATGCTGACAGCTTGAATGTAAATTGGGAGAGGTTAACCCGAATTCTTGTGGATTATGTAAACTTTAACTTCAGCCACTGCTTCTCGGTACCCAGAGCAGCTCCGTGTCCACAGCACTGGCGACAGAGTATCCCACCCGAGGGGAGGAAGCATGAGGCAGCTTAGCTGTATTCTGCGTGTCTTGCATCCAGAAAGCTGCGGCTTGTCCGTTGTCCCCGTGCCGTTCCCTCGGCGCGGCACTTCGGTTCTGCGGCGATCGCTTGGCTGGCCTCCCCGCTCTGCTTCTGCTGAGGGTCAGAACGCTGCTGCGAGGGGAATTCGTCTCGCTGAGCTACCGTAGCGCTGTGGCTCTGCTTCGGCTACCTCTGAGCGATGCCCTTGATGGCTGCTTTGGCATGCTCGTGCTGCCCGGCTGCTGTTCGGCACCTGAGCGGACCTGCCCTGCAGTTGAAGATGATGGTGGAGTTTGAGATGACCAGGGTGCTTGGTGGCAAAGCTGCTCAGCGCCTGGCCACTGCATTTCCTGCTCTTGTACCTTTATGAAGCCAAGAGACACCCACGAGATGATCCAGTTTGCCTTACACCTACCAAATCCCATCAGTATCTATAATGAGGCAAAAACTGTGTTTGACTGAGGTCTCCTCCATCTAACCTGAGGTCTGGAAGTCGAGGCTGAGGGCCCTTCTGGAGGAACTTGCCGCTTTGCTCTCAGAGTTCAGGATGGGAGGAGGAGTATGGAGGCTGTAGAGTCTCTTTTGCAGGGGCCCGGAGGCAGACGTACTTGCAATGCTGCTGCTGCGTTGGAGCGTCTCGCGGTTCTCCTCTCTGGGTTAATCTTTAACTCCCGCAGGCAGCGCAAGGCCATCTGCTCCGGTGCTGCCATTTATATTTTTGCCACGCTTTGGCGTTGTTTGGATCGACGTTCCTTTGAGGTGCAGAATGGGGGGTTTTAGGTCTGTCACCCTTCCAGGCTGGGGTGTTGGGTGCGTGTCTAGTCGTGGAGAGATGGCCTCATGGGCTGTGGGAGGAGCAAGCTGCTCACTCACCTCCCGGTTTAAACTGAAGAGAGAGTGTATTTAGGGGGGAGGGTCTGTGGAAATCTTGAAGACTCAATGGGATTTTTTTCTTCAACACATTCGTATTTGCAAATGCCTATTGACTTTTATTTTTTTTCCCTCCGTTTCCTGGTTTGAGGAGCTTCAAGACCAGCAGCTCTTTGAAGGGCTTTCTTAAAGCAGGGAGGAGGGGTTGCTGTTGGGAAGATGACGCTTCCGAAATGGCGTCGGAAGTGTTAGGGCATTGCTTGCGTTGGAGCTCTCCCCTTCGGAAAAGCTTGATGGAGAGCGATACACCCAGTTTCTTTAAAAAATCGAACCCCACTGTGCTGGTTTGGAAGCTTCCTGGAGCATTTCTGGCGAATGCCGGGGTGTACATCGCAGGTCTGTGGTTTTCCACCCGTCTCTTCGTGTGCAAGGAGCACAGGCCATGCCGAATAGGTGTCCGGTACTCGAGAAGTAGACTTGCCAGGAAAGCCCCATCAATGGCTGCTCTTCATCTGCAGGATTTCCTGCTGCTTTTCCTGCTGCTTTGCTTTTCTTCTCGCTTTCCCCAAACGAACCAAGACTGAGAGCCCTGTGCTGTGTTCCTACATGCACAGACTCTTCTTGGAGCAACTCTCCTGGCTTCCTGCTCTCCCCTGCCCGCTGCAGCTGACCCTGTACCTCCAGCTCCGCCTTCACCTCTGGAGTTGGGCTGGTAGGAGCTTTCTGATCCATGAAAATCTGGAAAGGAGCCTTCCCGCTACTGCTGTCAGGGCACCAAAAAAAACCAACAACTAAGGAACGCTGGAGTCTGGGTTTTTAAACCCAAATGTGTTTTGCATTGAATATGTTGAACTCCTCCTGATGCTTCTGTCTGGGAAGGAAGGAGTAGCGTAGCGTGCCTTGAGACTCCTGACACTCAAGGAAGTCATGTTGTATTAATATCTGTATTTCTAAATTTAAATTTAAAAAAAAAAGCCACAAACAAAACCCACAAAACCCCAAGAAAAACCCCAAAACAAACCAAAAAAAAAAGGAAGGCTTCTTGATTTGGCTCAACTTGTCAGGCGAAACGAAACACCCAACAAAACAACAATGAAAAAAGAATAATTCACTGATAATATATTTATTTCATGCTCTAAGTCCCCCACTTCTAGATGAGTAGTTGCTTGGACATTTTGGCTTCATAATTAAAGTATATATGGGAAGATCTGCTGTGTTCTTCCCCCCAAAATCTCAGCAAGCTTGACTGTGTCCTGCAGAAGAATCTGCAATATTCTCATTCCCCGTGTACTGTTTTTATGCTGTAAAAGACTTTCAGCTTATAAAAGGGCTGATGCCAACTTGTTCCGTCCTTGTGAACGTCCCCAGGGTTAACCCCGTCGGCTGTGTCGAGTTTTGCTGCTCTGGTTTGCATGGGCTGAAAACAAGCTGCGCAAAACGGGGCTGGCTTTACACTCTTGAGTTTTTTTCAGATGTAAAATGCTCTCACTCTCCTCCCACACCAAATTCTGAGCTGTCTAATGGGTTTGGAAGTTGCCACGTAAAATTCAAAGCACTGAGGTTAAACCGTGATGGAAGTGAGGGACGGAACAAGTTGGAGATGCGGCCAGGCAAAAATTTTTTCCTCTAGTTAATTTTGTTCTCTTACAAATTGCGCTGTGCTGGATTGCAGCTGACGTCTTGTGCTTTTCTTCCTGATGCTTTAAACTACTCGCTTCGAGCATATTTCTGAAATTGGTCCCAGAAAATGCGTGGATTGCTTAGTCCCTTACGTTTTCCTTTCTGATTCCCCTTTGCCTGCGCACAGGAGTTCCTGGTGCGGTGAGGTTTCGGCATTTGCTGGAGGGGTCGGGGGGGGAGACGAACCACGCGACTGGTTCGGTTGTCCCTGGGTTTCCCAGAAGCTTGAGGCTCACCTGGGTGGTGGGGTCCTGCACCAGAGCCTGCAGGAAGCCCCAGGAGGTGATGCTCTGTCCGAGCTGCTGGGGTAACACCCACTGCTCGCCGATGCAGAACCTTGCGGCTACTGCAATAGGAGGGGGAATCAGGAAAATGGCACAAGGAGGCTGGGGACGATGCCGAGACTTCCTTGCCGAGCTGAGCTTCCCTGTTTGGGTGTCGGGGTGTGTGCGTTGCCCTCGCTGCCAGCCCAGCGGTCCCTCTGTTCAGCCTGGCCTGCCCGAGCGAGGCTGAGGCGATGCCGTTGCGATACCTTGCCCGTGAATCGCGGGTTGGGGTCGACCGCTTTAAACTCTCCGTTTGGCAAATAGAAATCCTCTCGGCTGCTTGCAAAGCTCCCCAGTGCTTCTCTGGCTCTTGGAGGTAGAGCTTTGGTGCACGCCTGACTTCTTTGCCTGTTGTCCTTGTAGGTGCGTGGAGGGCAGCGACAGAAGAGTGGGGCACGGAGGACTGGAATGAAGATGTAGGTACTCTCCAAACCCCTCTCCTCCTTGCGGCTGCCGGCGGGCTGCCGTCCTGTTTGTGCGCACACAGCTACAAGAGGAGCACGAAGCCCATCCTCCCCAGACGATGGGCAGAGCCCCAGCCAGGCTCCCAATTGCAGGAGCTACGATGAAGTAGTAAACATCGCCGCTTCTAAAGTCCATGTGTAGTAGAGCTTGTCGTAGGAGCCCGAGGTGGGAAGGGATCTCCCAGGGCATCCAGTCTGGTCCTCTCATTTCCTGTAACTGAATGGTTGAATTCTGCTGTGAACTGGCCTGACAGAATCACAGAATCACAGTATGGTGGGGGTTGGAAGGGCCTTCTGTGGGTCACCCAGTCCAAACCCCTGCCAAAGCAGGGTCACCCAGAGCGGGCTGCACAGCACCACGTCCAGGGAGGTTGGAATATCTCCAGAGAAGGAGACTCCCCAACCCTCTGGGCAGCCTGGGCCAGGGCTCTGGCACCCTCAGAGTGAAGCAGAACCTTTCTCGTGTTCAGCTGGAGCTTCCTCTGCCTCAGTTTGTGCCCGTTGCCCCTTGTCCTGTTGCTGGGCACCACTGGAAAGAGTTTGGCCCCATCCTCCTGACACCCACCCTTGAGATACTTATAAGCATTTATTAGGTCCCCTCTCAGCCTTTTCTTCAGGCTGAAAAGACTCCACGCATGGTTCTTGCCCCGCTCCTCCGGTGGAGCGGCGGTTCGGGAAGGTTTGCCTTTGATCCACTCTACATATGGCGGAGGCAGCAGCAGCAGTTTCACGCGTGTGTCGTGTGCCTCTGCTGGTCCTTCAGATTTGCACTGAACAGGAGCTCTTGGCTTTGCCTTCTGGCTTGCTCTTTGGTGTGTCTCGCTGCTTTTTGTTCTCTACCTCGTGTCTCCTTCAGGGGAGAATGGATGCTGTTACCAGCTGCTTTTAATGCCTCCGTATCAGTTTCCTCTGAAATGGGCTTTTTAGTGCACTCCCTGAATCAAGGGAGAACTTCTGTTCTTGCAGATGAGAGCAGGGATGGGCTTTTTTAATATTATTATTAGTTTTTCATGCTCATTTTTGCTAAGCCTGCAGAACGGGCACAAAGTGAAAGCTTTTGCTTTCCAGGCACCATCTGAAGGAAGCGCTCTTGCTGTGTTTGGAGATGCACGCAGCTTCTCTGTCTGTTCAGTCAGGTCTCTGCTTGAAGGGAGGCTTTGATAGCCCTCCCTTCCTTCACTGTGCGATACGCTCCCAGGGGTTCCTGATTTTGTTTTTAAACACTTGCAGTTTAGTTGCTGGCAGCTCCTCAGTCTGGAATAAAAGCTGTTCATATTCAGATATGTTCCGGGCTAAATCACGGGTGGTCGTTAAACCTCCCCTTCATTCATTTTTGAGTGATGTTATTTTCCCTTCCGTAGCTGAAGTAGATCTGTTGCTCTCTGGTCAGGTTGTCCACGTAGGGCCAGGATCATTGGAAGCTTAACTGTGGGTCTGGAGCTTTTTTTCTTTGACTTCTCTAGCGGTGCTTGCACCCACCTCTGCAGCGGGTTTTGCGGATCAGGGCTGCGTACCATCACTGCAGACAGCCTGTCGAAGACCCTGGCAGCACTGGGGGATTTGTGGACTATGGGAAATTTGTAGAAGGGATTTTTTTTTTTACCCACTGGCAGGTGATTTGTGTACTTGCCTGAGAATAACCAAATGAATATAAGCTGATCCTGATGGGAGCCAAATGTTAGAGAAGTCTAAACACTTGAATTTCCTGAATCTTTCTGTTTGACTCAAATGTTTGTGTGCTTTACTTGGAGTCCTGAGATACTCTGCTCACTGTTGGATTCTTTTTTCCGTTTTTTTTAATCTTTCAGCTGTCTGAGACGAAGATCTTCACTGCCTCCAATGTGTCTTCAGTGCCTCTGCCTGCTGAGAATGTGACAATCACAGCTGGACAGAGGTGATAGCCCGTGGCGATGCTGTTTACGTGGGAAAAGTGGCACACGAGTTCCAGAGCTATTTGGCATCTCGGACTCAACCTTACCAACTAGCTAAAATACAGCAGCTCTGGATAAGATGAGATGGATTTAAATGGAAAAGTTGAGCTAGGAGTTTCCGGGTCCTAATCCTGGATTAGAGTTTTCCTAGGCTCTGCTGCTGGTTCTTCAGATTTGCGAGCATTTTGCTGTGTTAAATTAACAGAAGGCATGCATTAAAATAGAAAGCTATGCAGGGTCTTGCTTGGTCTCTGCCCTTTGGAGGTTGCTGCTGGCAGTTGTGAGCTAAATGTTCTGCAGATGCATTCAGTTTGTGAAGTAGAAAGCTGTAAGTTGTGAGGCTGGAGGCAGAATGCTGCTGTAATGGAAGCGAGGGGTGTGACAGCTCGTGTTAACCTCAGTGGGTTGTCTTCTTTCTTTACCCAGAATCGATCTTGCGGTCCTGCTAGGAAAGACGCCCTCTTCTATGGAGAATGAGTCAACAAGCCTGGAGTCATCCCAGGCTCCTTCCCTGGCCCAGCCGCTGGTGTTCAGCAATTCCAAGCAGAGTGCTATATCCCAGCCGGCCTCTGGTAACTCCTTCTCTCACCACAGCATGGTAAGGAAATGCTGGTCACTGCCGGCGCGCGGGTTGTGGCGGGTGTTGGTTTCCTTGGTGGGAAAGGATTCTCTGCTCCAGAAAGCTTCTCCTTTGGGCAGTATGGGAAATACAGTTCTGACGCCTGCTCGCTTCTTGTGGGTGGCAGAGTCCACTGGATGATTTGCTGGTCCGCTCTAAATACAGAAGCATGAAGTCCACTGCTTAATTAGAAATAATTGGGATGATTACTCCCCTGTTGCCCTTGTCAGACTTGCAACACATACTTCTTTCCTGCTCAGAGGAAAGGAAAAACTCTTGCGATCCAGGGCTTGCAAATTGAACAGTCTGAGAAGTGGGACTTGGTGGGAGTTCGGGGTGGGATGGGATGCTGGCGTCTGCTGGCAGGTGAGGGAAGGAGGCATTGAACCTGTACTGGGGGTGTGCACAGACCTGGGCAGGTGCTGCTTTGTGTGACTGGAGCAAAAGAAATGCAAAGGGTGCGCTGAACGGTGAGAGAGTTCAGCAAGGATTTTCAAAACCACCTGAACTGTAAAGCCCAGTTCTCATGGCAGTTGTCTTTTTTAGTGCAACCAAATGCATGTGAATATTTTAGTACATTTTTAAAGATCCTGTCTGTTAACTTTCTTTGTAAGCCTCCATGACACTGTAAAGCTCCATGGGTTGGGCAACAGAGAAGTGTAGCTGCACTCTCATGTGGTAAACGCTGTGGGAGAAGCACGAGCTCTCCTTGCCAGTGGTCTCCGTGCATCTGGAGCTTGCAAGCGCTAAGCTGAGGCACCCAGTGAGAAGCAGCAGGGCACAGTGCATTCAGGCTTAGGTTAAGAGATGTGCCTGTCCTCTGAGAAACGTTCCAAGCCAAGGGAGATGTTGACTTTGTTGTTTCATTGCTGAAATTGCAGGTGAGCATGCTGGGGAAAGGGTTTGGAGATGTCGGGGAGGCCAAAGGCAGCAGTACCACAGGTTCTCAGTTCCTGGAGCAGTTCAAGACAGCCCAGGCTCTGGCTCAGCTGGCTGCTCAGCACACCCAGCCTGGTGGGAGCACCACTGCTTCTTCCTGGGACATGGGATCCACCACGCAGACCTCGTCTCTCGTGCAGTATGGTAAGGAAAAGCAGCGTGGCTCCCCAAAGGGGAGTGTGTTCTCCCTGAACTGCAGAAACGTGCCGCAAGCAGCAGTGTGAGGGATTCAGCGGAGGGCCAGATCAGAAGGTCGCAACCAAGCCATCTGCTGGAGAAACTAAAAGGCCCACGGGTGCAAGTTTGTGAGAGTAAAACGTGATAGTGCATGTGAGTCTTTCCCTTTTGTACTTGGAGCAGTTAATTCCATCTGCCTCTTGGTCATTCCAGACAGCTTCAGGGCCAGGGATCTGGTGTTCATGAGACCTTCGTGGTGTGGGGAACTACCTCCTGGTGTAAAGCTGTGTAACGGAGAAGGGGTCTGAAAGCGGGCACCTCTGGAGGGTAGTTCCTGAACACCAACACTTGTCAGCCTCGTCTCACCGCTGACCTGATGTTATCTTTTAAACTAATTCAATTCTGGTGACTGTTAAGTGCCGAGAAGTAAGTCTGCCTTTGGGCTGGTGTGACAGAATAAACAGTGATTGAGAGGCTCCTGCTTTTCAGATGAGGTGCTGAGCCCTGCTGTGGTTGAGTACTAGTGCCATTTCTTTCAGCTTGTGCATTTTATTTCTTGCTATAGGGAAATGGCTTTGGTTCAAATCTTAGCTGAAGAAAAATCGAGCCCTGTCCTAGTAGCAGTCAGTGTTGGCAGCTTCTGTTCTTTTCAGACAAGGAGCCGCAGAGGAGATTGAGAGAATAGGAGCTGGTTTTTAATAAGCTGCGGTAAGGCTTAGGTGAAGAAGGAGGGTGGTGCAGTTGTGCAGAGACCTGAGGGTGGGCAGCCCCGAGCAGTGGTGCTGCTGGAAGGATGCCTGGTCCTTGCAGGGGAAAGAGCAGGCAATGAAATGCAGCAATGCTGGCAGAGAGGGGGAAGGAGGCAGTGCCGGGCCCGTGCAGGACTCTGATGTGCAGTGCCTCCATGCGAGGGACTCTGAAGTCCAGCTTTTCTTGGAGGATGGAGAACTTCTGCTGTGCAAGCTCACTTTATCATATGGAGATGGTGGAAGGAGCTGAGGGGAGAAGGGCGTAAAAGGCTCGGCGTTGACGGTGGTGAGAGCACAAGGCTGGGAACGGAGATGCTGGGGTTCTCTGTGCTCTGGTGTCAACAGGCTTCAGGAGGAGTCATAGTGTGAAACGATTTTATTTTTCTTGGTGCTGAGAAGTGTCAGAATTTGGTTTAGTTTTCAGGAAACAAGTCCTGCTAACTCAACTCTGTCTCCCCCACTAGATCTCAAGAACCCAGCGGACTCTTCGGTGCATAGTCCCTTCACCAAGCGTCAGGCCTTCACGTCGACTTCAACCATGATAGAAGTGTTCATGCAGGAGAAACAGCCTGTGGTGACTGCTTCCACAACTGTGCCGGCACCCGCTTCCTCGCCGCTGCCCAGCAAAACCAATCCTGTTCCCCAGATGTCCCCAGGGTCCTCGGACAACCAGTCCTCCAGTCCCCAGCCGGCACAGCAGAAGCTGAAGCAGCAAAAGAAGAAAGCATCGTTAACATCAAAGGTGTGGATCGGTGGTGGGGAAGGAGGCGTTGTGTTGTGTTAGAGCTGCAGAAAAATCCACGTGGGCTGATGAGGGAAAGGCTGGGCTTGGCCTTCCTGCTGTTAGCGTTGGGTGTTTGGGGGGGTCATGGAGAAACGCTTGCCTGCCTGGGTTGAACAGCATAATTCAGAGGATGCAAGCCTGGAACTACCGTCGTGTGCTGGGAAATGTGGATACTCAAGTCACTTTCCGTGCAGACCCCAGGAAGCGATTGACCCTGGCTGTTGTTCCTCCCTTGCAGATTCCTGCACTTGCGGTGGAAATGCCTGGCTCAGCGGATATCTCAGGGCTAAACCTGCAGTTTGGGGCATTACAGTTTGGTTCGGAGCCTGTTCTTGCGGAGTACGAATCGACGCCCACCACAAGCGCCGCCGTTAGCCAGTCTCAAAGCAGCCTGTACACCAGCACGGCGAGGTGAGGGCCGGGCGCGGAAGGGAACGACTGATCCAAGCAGGTAGCTTTGGAAGGTGGCTGGTCCCGTGGGCTTTAGTTACGCTGCATACTAGTGGACCCTTTCTGACCATGCCGTGATCACAAAGGGGGGACAACGTATGCAACAGCAAAAGATAAGTTGCCAGCAGACTCAGTCAGGCAGCGCTGTGCCTGATTGGCCTGTGGTGCTTATACAGAAAGCAAATGTTTCTTGCTGCTGCTAAACTGCATTGCTAGAAACAAGGAAGGGAATCCCCAGTGCAGCTGCTCCTTGTCCCTGGTGAACAGATTCTGCGTGCTTTGTCCTGCTTTTTGCCTGGCAAACTGGGGCGCAGTGGAGTAGGTGTATCTACGATGATGGTGCCTTGCCAAAGCAAAGTGTTCCTGTCTTCCGTTGGGCTGACCCTTAGTTTCTGGCTGGTTCCTTGAATGCTGGGATCCGAGTGGTGGCAGCTCATGGAATGTCACCTGGAGCACAGCAGTGTGGGAGGCAGGGCAGCGGCTAGGCCCCAGCATCCTCCTGCGGTCAGGCCCTTGCCTGGCTGTGTTCCTCTGCTTGGTTTGCCTGGCTGCTTTGCGTGGTGCCTTTATGCTGATGCTTGGAGCTCCTTATTTTGAAAATCTGAAACAGAGAGCCTACAGACTGGGTCAGAAGCTTACAGCGGGGCTGTTCTGGAGGAAAACGTAAACCCCTTTTCTTTTTTCCCCCCCTTTGTAGTGAATCTTCATCCACAATTTCGTCCAATCAAAGCCAGGAGTCTGGTTACCAGAGCGGCACAATACAGACAGCAACGTTTACCTCCCAGAACAGCGCTCAGGGACCACTGTACGAACAGAGATCCACCCAGACGAGGCGATACCCAAATTCCATCTCCTCCTCGCCGCAGAAAGATCTGACCCAGGCCAAGGTAGGAGGATGGCTTTGCTCACCCTTGGTGCTGAGTAAGCATAGCGTGTGAAGCATGGTCTCGGAGGAAGCTAAGTGGTTTATCAAGTGTTTTGGCGATCCTCCAGCCTCACCACGTGGCTTGTGGACTCTCGTGAGAGCTTCCTTCTGGCTGCTACCAGAGCCCTTAGCTATGTTACTTACCTGGGGCTGGGCCAGTGGGGTCAACAGCGGTTAAGTTGATTGCAGGCCACGTGTCGTGTCACGCATAATTACCCTGCTGCAGAGTGGCATTCAGGTGAAGGATTTAGTTCAGTCTTAAGGATTTGATTCTTGCATGCTGCACACGAGTTCAGCAACATCAATTCTGGCTAAGGAATTTGGGTTGAGGATGTTGAGCCAGTCTAACTACCAGCAGCAGAGGAATTTCTTGCACTGCTTTCTCAAATATGTGCTTGGGGGTCGTGCTGGCGCTTGGGACTGACCCCGGCGCAGTCTGGTGACACGTGTTGGTAGCACACCTTTTTCACAGCTAGGGGAGGGATTGTGGGAGGGGGCTGACAGCAGATCTGCCTCTGGAAACGAGCAGCTGCAATGCCCAGTACTCTTTTTTTTTTTTTTTTTTTTTTTTTTTTTTTTTCTTCCTAGGATTGTTTTTTTTTTTGGTTTTTTTTTTTTTTTTTCTTTTTTTCTCTTCTTCCTCAGAATGGTTTCAGTTCTGTGCAACCCACGCCGTTACAAACCACACAGGCCGTTGAAGGTAAGAGTTGGTCGGTACGGTGGGTGTCCTGAAGCTTGTACTGCTTGTATTCTTTGCTTTGGGTGAAAAGCTTTATCTGTGCGAACTGCAAGTCCTTTCCCTGCTGGACTAATTGCTGCCACTCACATTATCTGTTTGCCTTGAAATATTTGGCTTTCTGCTGATGGATCCATGAGATCCTTGATGAGTCGCTCCCTGATGACAAGAATTTACTCTGATTTGGTTGTGAAAGGCACCTTGTCTGGAGGTCTCAAACCTCTTTGCAGAGCCAGTGGCAGTGTTGGGGTGAAGTGAGACAGAGAACACAGTCACGCTGTCTCAATGTGGTTGGCAGCAGTGAGGGAAGCCCCAGATCTTCCTGCTCCTCTTGCTGAGCCTTTACAGATCCTCACTGCTGAGCTGCGCTCCGGGAGCTGCTGGTAGCTGCCCCTAACCCAAAGCTTTTGTTCGCAGGTGCTACAGGCCCCGCAGTGAAATCCGATTCCCCCTCCGCTCCCAGTATCACACCTCTCAACGATGGGGTGTCTGCGTCGTCCTTGCTGACGACAGCCAGCCAACACTCAACAGCTCTGAGCAGCCTGAGCCACAGTGAGGAGCTCCCCAGTACGACCACCGCCCAACTCAGCAGGTGAGCAAGTGTGGTGGGTGGGTTTCTAGAGAAGCGGAACTAGAAGTCAGGATCTATAGCAGACGTCAAAGTCTGTCTGGTGCAGTGGGGGAGACCGAGACGCCTCATCCCATCCGAGTAGATGGGGAATGGGATCTGGCCTGGTGCTGCTGATGGTGACTCTCGCTCCTTGACCTGACAACCTTTTATTCCTCCCTCCGCAGTACGTTACCCACCCAGCAGAACAGTCTGTCCTCATCCACATCCTCCGGGCGAACATCAACGTCAACTCTTCTGGTGAGTCTAGGTGTGCCCTAGTGCTGTGCACCCCGATTCCTTCTCAGCTTGGAGAGATCTGCTGGTGTGCCCGACCTTGGGTGTGTGGCCGGCGGGTCTGCGGTTGTGACAGAAGCTGCCAGGCTGCTGGTTGTCCCGCTGGATTTGGATGTTCTGTGGAGAGAGGGCATAGGTTTATGTCAGAACACTGCACACCTCTGGCTTGAGGCTTTTGACACCCTGCCCGTTTCAGACAGAACAGTGGCTTCTCTTGAGCCTGTAGCAGCTCGTGAAAGTGCTGCGGAGTTGCAACCAGAGATCAGAGCAAGCTGGTAGCTGATGGAGTGTCACTGTTCAAACGTATGTGATGCTGGAGCTCCCGCAGTACAGAGTTCCTGGGTGTTGGCTCCTGCAGCAGAATAAATCTCCCTACTGCAGATGCGGTGTTCAGCCCTACTTCTCTCAGCAGACAGACATGTTGGGACACAGCCGCACGAGAGGTTTGGAAGCGTTGGGGCTTGGCTGCTATCAGGGCTTTGGACTTTGGCCAGATGCAAAGCAGGTTTCTTTGTAGCCTGCAGCAGCTGAGTTCATTGCAGGCTCTCGAGAACATCCGGGTGCAGAGCTGCACAGTATTTTACGTAGACAGTGTCCTGCAATGTTTCTGTGCTCAGTTACATCTGCTGCTCCCCTTTTAGATTGGATATTAGGAAAAATTTCTTTACTGCAAGAGCGGTCAGGCGTTGGACCAGGCTGCCCAGGGCAGTGGGGGAGTCCCCATCCCTGGACGGGTTCAAAAAACGGGTAGATGTGGCACTTCAGGACGTGGTTTAGCAGGCTTCACGGTGTTGGGGTGACCGCTGGACTTGATGATCTTAGAGGTCTTTTCCAGCCTTAATGGTGACTCTGACTCTCTCCCCTTCGTCCCCTAGCACACCAGTGTGGAGAGTGAAGCTAGTCTCCATTCTTCTGCTAGCACTTTCTCCACCTCCTCCAGCACCGTGTCGGCCGCCCCGCCAGTCGTGAGCGTTTCATCCAGTCTCAGCAGTGTCAGCAGCCTGGGCCTCAGCCTCAGCAGCAACTCCACAGTGACGGCCTCAACTCGCAGCTCCGTTGCAACAACATCAGGTACTTGCCTGGGTACTGCTAAACAGGAGTGTGGGGGCTAAGAGAGGCAGCTTCTGCTGTTTGCTTCACCGTGGAACTTTTCCTTTCTCTTCCTTCTTCAGGAAAAGCCCCTCCCAATCTCCCTCCTGGAGTGCCACCGTTGTTGCCTAATCCGTACATCATGGCTCCAGGGTTGCTACACGCCTATCCGGTGAGTGGGACGATGGACTCTTTGCAGTTGTGTCGTGCCAGTAGGTCCCTGCCAGCTCTGTCTTCAGCTCACAGGAAGGGATGTAGTGTAGTAGAGAAACCAGAAACTGTATCACCGGCCCGGCAGGACTGACTTGGATGAGCGGAGTGGGGACCTGCTGTTATCCATAAAACAGTAGCAGAGGAAATCCGTGTGCCCCTGGGGGTAAATGTCTGTAATTCTGGTCACCCCAGAGCAGGTTCTTTCTGCCCTTAGCCTTCCCAACCTTTGGGGAGCAACAGTTGTTGGTTGGAGCACACATCGTGAAAGTGTGGGGCTGGTATTAGCAGCATGGTATGGCAAAGGGCAGGCAGGCAGAACGAGGGTGGCGACTGCCACAAAGTCTAGTGGCATGTCGCAGCCCTCTTCGGAAGGTGAGGACAGATTTTGGTGTTGGAATAATTTCTAGCGGAAAACTGTCAAGTGCCTTTGTGGTCTGGAGCAGTGGTGCTCTGTGTTGATGCTCACTCTTCGTTTGAGCAGCTCGTAAAAACAGTCCTGGCAGCGTCAGTCTTGCGGTAGTGCGCCTAGGTAACTGCGTGGCCTTTGATCGTCTGCTTCGGGCTTTATCTCACGTTTATCTAAATGTTCAATCTAAAATTAAGTAAGTGCCTTTACCCAGTCTGTGTCCCTAACATTACCTCCTCCTCTTTTTCTAGCCACAGGTGTATGGATATGATGACTTGCAAATGCTTCAGACGAGATTCCCATTGGTGAGTACTGAAGACTGACACGGACGCGCCGCTTCCGCTGGTGTGACCGCTCGCTGGTGCCGCGTGCTTCGGGGGTGCAGGCAGGTCACGCTGCGAGGTGGTCCTGAAGGGCTGGCAAAGCAGGCTGCTAAAGGGATGTACCCCTCCGTGGCAGGAGCGTGGAGTTCGTTAGTCGCTCCCTTGCGCTTGGGGAGTGAGGAGCACTAGTTATTCAGGCAGCGGCATCGATGGTGGGGGTAGGGAACATGAGAGCTGCGGCAGGCAGAGCTGTTTTGCCTGACAGTGATGAGCTGCTGTAGATACTTGCCTCTGATCTTGGAAATCAGCAGTGACTAAAGACTTTTATGCAAATAGTTTTTGTTTAGTGCCCGTTGCATTGTGAAGTGGAGGGGGAAAGTCCAGGCGGTTTATGGACTGCATACCAGTAGACCTTATCTGGTTCTTCTGATAGCCTGATGAGGGGGACGGTGCATGCTACAGAAAACTGGGGTTGCTGTAGGCCATGGGCAGCCTTGATGTGGCTGATTGAGCTGCAATGCTCCAACATACCTAGCAGCTGCAGTCCAGAAATTCACAGAATCGCAGAATGTGTGGGGTTGGCAGGTCCCTCTGTGGGTCACCCAGCCCAACCCCCTGCCCAAGCAGGGTCACCCAGAGCAGCTGCACAGCACCGTGGCCAGGGGGGTTGGAATATCTCCAGAGAAGGAGACTCCCCAACCCTCTGGGCAGCCTGGGCCAGGGCTCCGGCACCCTCAGAGGGAAGAAGTTCTTCCTCGGGTTCAGCTGGAGCTTCCTCTGCTCCAGTTTGTGCCCGTTGCCCCTTGTCCTGTCGCTGGGCACCACTGGAAAGAGTCTGGCCCCGTCCTCCTGACCCCCACCCTGCAGATATTTAGAGGCATTTCTAAGGTCCCCTCGCAGCCTTCTCTTCTCCAGGCTGAACAAGCCCAGCTCCCTCAGCCTCTCCTCGTAGGGCAGAGCAGAGGGATTCCTTTTTTCCGAAAGATATTGGTTTGTATCTTTGGACAGAGCTCATAAAACTGCTGCTCTTTTTGTTTGCATCCTGCAGGATTACTACAGTATCCCATTCCCTACGCCCACCACCCCGCTGACTGGAAGAGATGGCAGCCTGAGCAGCAATCCGTACTCTGGTAAGGAAGGCGACTGCTCTGGCTGCGTATGATATCGGGTGTTTGTGCTGCCGCTTGCTTAGTTTCCTTGTCCGCTGGAGCTACGCCAGCACAGGCCTCCTGCACTGCCTTTGGTCAGGAGCGTGTTTCTCAGCAGCTAGAATCTTGAATTCCCTTTGATGGGCAAAATCTGATCGTGGCATGTTGCCAGGAAGGTGTGGACAAGTAGGAGTCGATGCGGCATTTGGAAAGGGGGCGAGAAGGAGCTGACAGAATCTGTGGAGTGTAAAACTGGGGAACTGCTTTTCAGGCGGTGGTGAGGCAGGGGTTAAGCAGTGCTTCTCAAGCACTTTGAGTAAAAATATGAAGAAACACAACATCTGGAGAAATTAAACGTATATCTATGCGACAGTCTCATGGATGAAGAAACCGGGGCATTAGGACCTGTCGAATTCAAACCAGTGCCCAGCGAGTGGCTGATCTCTCGCTGACCTTGGTCGGTGCATTTATTAGTGGGCAGCAGTTGTGCTGAACTTTCAGGTGCTTTAGGAGTTGTTGTACCTTTGTGGATTGCTCTTTTTTCCGGCACCACTTCTCCCCTGCTTTGTGCAGAAGTGCTTTTGCCTGGCATGCTGAGGCTGCAGTCCCAAGCTCAGAGTGCGGCACTGCTGCACGCGTACCTTGCCAAGTTAACATCAGTGCTAATTAATATTTGTGGCTATCCTGAACTCGCTTGTGAGCTGGAGCAGCACTGAGAAATTCCCTGGCTCACGGTGTGAGCTCTGAACAGGGAGAGCGTTTGCGTGGAAGAACCAAGCAGGTGCTTGTCGAGAGCAGCAAAGGGAGCTTCCTGGAGCCCTGCAGCAGAGCCCTCGCGCGGTGCCCAGCCGAGGAAGAGAGGAAGCGAGACTTCCGAGTGCTCTCTGCAGCCTCATCGCCTCTGCAGCAGCGTTCGATTCGGTGCTGCCGGCAAGAGAGAGGGAGGCGTGAGCCCTGCTGTAAAAAGGGGCCGTTCCTGCATCCTCAGCTGGAATATATTTGAGTCTGCTCTTCAACGAGGAGCTGTTTGCCGGCAGGACAGGGCCCCTGGGCTGCCTCCCTGGCCTCGGGTCTGGCTCTGCAGGGAGTCAGGTTGTGCCTGCTGCCGATGCTCGGAGAGGCCCTAGGCAGAGCGTTGGGTGGCCAGCAGCAGGTTCATCCAGTGCTGGATCGTAGGCTGACGTCAGGCAGCGCAGCACTGCGTGTTTCCCTTCCCCTCTGAAGTCCTTTTCTGGGGGATGAGGAGAGCAATGAAGAGCTTGGTCTTATTGGCGTGCGAGGGTTTGAGGGCTTGCGAGGGCCGCAGTCCTCAGCAGCTGTGGGAGGGGGGTTGATTCAAGTCACTGGCGATCACTGGGTCACCTCGGGGCTGAGCTACAGCGGGCCGGGGTTTGGTGCGTCCGTTCTTCAGTCTCCTTCCATCTCCTGCGTTCCAGGTGACTTAACAAAATTTGGCCGAGGCGATGCCTCTTCCCCTGCGCCGGCAACGACTTTGGCCCAGCCTCAGCAGAGCCAGACGCAGACTCACCACACCACGCAGCAGACGTTCCTGAACCCAGCGCTGCCTCCTGGCTACAGTTACACCAGTCTGCCGTACTACACAGGGGTACCAGGGCTCCCCAGCACCTTCCAGTACGGGCCCGCCGTGTTCCCTGTGAGTTTCCCAGAGGCGAGGCGTGGGATTCGGGCGGGAGGGCCGCGCAGCGAAGCCTCTCCTCACTCTGCTGCTTTCCGTAGGTTGCTCCTACCTCTTCCAAGCAGCATGGTGTGAATGTCAGCGTCAATGCATCAGCAACCCCTTTTCAGCAGCCCAGTGGCTATGGCTCTCATGGATACAGCACCGGTAAGAGACCCGACAGAGCGTCCTGCTCAGCAGCAGTGACTGACGGTGGCGGGGCTCGTTCACAGTCTCACTGGTGGTCTAAGGGGACGGCGGTCATGCTGCTCCAGCAGGAAGGGAGGAAAATGGCCACGGTGCCACTTGCAGGTCATTTGATTCCCCTTGGAAAGGCCCAAGCTTGTTCTACATCCAAGTCCAGAGCGGGTTTGAAGAGCACAGAGCACTTCGCGCCCTCCTCTGTGCCCAGTGGTCAGGTGGCTGAGGCCTCAGGCTCGTGTCGGAGAGCTTAAGCTGAATTGTTTGGGCTTTGTTTTGTGGTTTTTTTTCTTTTTACTGCCTGTATATGATCGCTAGAACAGTAACTATTCCAGATTTAAGCCTGGGAGCTTGTTTGACTCCTGTGTCTGGCAGCTGTACGCTTTCTAGAGAAGTGTCCTTCTTGATTCAAAGATGCAAGAAGGTCGTGAACCTGCCCCTTGTCTCGGTACTGGGTTTCATTGATTAATGTCTGGGTGACTTAGAGGGCCTGCATTTGGGTCCCTCTTGCAGCCTTACAGTTCCTGTTGGGCCATTTTTTCACTACGTTAGAGCTCTTTGAGACACTATTTTCTCTTTGCAAAGTCACTTCAGGTCACCTGGTACGGAGTCTTTCAAACCTCTTTCACTTCAACACATTTCCAGTGCCTGAAGTGACTGCGGAGGCTTCCCCCTGTCCCCACTGCCTTCTGGGAGCAGCCAGTGCCACGTGCGGGTTGTGTGCTGCTTCCAGGCCTTGCGCCAGCCAGCCCAGCCCACGCGTTGCCCGGTTTCCATCCGAGGAGCTCTCGGGCCGCTCTCGCTGCCGTGTCACGCTGGGAGTTTGTTTCCTTGCCTGTCTGCTGCGTTCCCCAGCTCTGCTCAGAGCTGGGCTCTTTATGCGTCTCTCTGGGTGGCAGCAGGCCTCTCAGTTTGTTTCTGGAGGCAGTCGGAAACTGCTCGTGTCCAGAACAAAAGAACTTAGGCTCATACGGGCGCTCTGCAGCTTGGCCTTGCCGAGACCCTGCTCCCTGGGACGCCGTCTGTCTCCGAACCTCACCCGGCTGCCGGGCTTCTGGAGCTCTGCACCACCTGATGCTGGCGTTGGTGGCTTGCGGAGTCGGTGGCTCCTGCCTGACGCTGGCTTGCCTTTCCCTCTCCCCAGGCGTATCCGTGACATCCAGTAATACAGGAGTGCCGGACATCTCGGGCTCTGTCTACTCCAAAACTCAGGTTAGTGTCTGGGCTGTGCTCCGGGAAGGCGCCGCTTTGCTGGGGAGCGGAAGCGCAGCGCGGAGACGGCCTCCCTGGGCAGTGAGGTCTCCTCCCCTTGGAGCACCCAGCCAGGGAGACGGGAAACGCTCGGCTTTTCCCAACCTAGAGCAATTCCAAGCCCAGAAGGAGCCGTAGGCAGAGACTCTGTCCGCTCCCCGCACCGCACGCTGACTC